CGTAACATACAAACAATGTGACATACAAACCGTATTGAAATCAACCCATTCCAACAACTTTTCCCAAAAATTATTAATGATATAAATACTCTTAATTATCCAGCAAAAAAGATGGTAAACACATAGGAACAAGCCGACGTCAAAATAAATCAAATATTACAGTAACGGTTCTTTAAAATAAATCAGTAACTGTATTTATTTTGAGAGAAGTGTATAAAAATGTACAAATTAAATAATGTAGTAATCAGAATAATATAGGAATCGAATGTCGTTCTAAATGCTTATAATACAAACTATAATATGCATTACAATAGTAACTGCTACGTAAATGTGACAACCAGAAAGGCGAACAAAGGGAAACGGATAATTAATGATATACTGAATATTCTATAAATTACTTTAATAAAACGAATTTGATTGTAATATGAGTATAAATAATGAAAGAAAACAATGAACGTAATTAAACACACACGCTGACAATACACCTTTACGCCACAATCATCAACAGTGAATAAAACTCTCTCCGCGCAACAGGTTCGAACTTAGTTAGTTGGCGAGGAGGCACGGGTGGAACTACAGATGGAGACAAATAAGAATTTTGCTGATATCCTGCATAAATCAGAATGTTTCCAAAAAATGATTAAATCATATACTGCATGAATTTACACGTTAGTATTTATCCACACTTTCTCAAGTTAATATAATTTCAATGAAATTGATTAAATTGACAAGTATAAAATATAATCAAATATATTTTTTCATAACCTTTAATACAATTATATCTTTCAGTGGAAAATTTTAATTATATAAATTTGACAAAATTTTCCATACTTCGTATGCAGGTATTTGCTCACTATTTAAATATTTGATTGACATTACATATTGTTAGAACCTGAAAAATATGATTTTTCTATTTGTGTGAGTAGCTTAGTTTCATCATTTCGCCACAATACGGTGCATCAGTGTGCATAAATCAATCAAATTTTTATTTTTGAAGAGAATTAATTGAGAGAGTCATGTTATAAATTTTTATAATTTTATCTCTAAAATTAAATTTTAAAAATTTCTTTTTATGTTCCAAAAGCGACACAAGTAGGTCACATCCTGATTCTTTTGCTTTGACCTCCACATTTTTAATAGTAATAATTTTAAACGGCCATATTGTACAAATTACACAAGAATTTGAATATTTTGTAGACACATGAAGACTTTGTTTAATTTCTCGATTTATTGCTTTCTCTTCGTAAGCTAATTAATCAATACGGAAGCTTTGTCCAAAACACAGGGCAATATTTATTATGTGGAGAAAAAAGCAAGATGTTTTTAAAAATACACTTTACGAATATTTACATTTTTTATCAGATTTGTCTTCGTCCGACGTTCATAACAGCATTCTAAAGTTTTACAATCAACGGAATATTAAAACAATGGAAAGACTAACTTTCACATAAAAAAAATTGCTCTTAGAATATGAACTTCTTGTATTATCTTAAAAATCGAAAAGAAATAATAGAGAAAAGATGTTCTTTGTGTAATATGACCAAAACCATTATTTATTCACTGTTTCAATATATCCAAGCATCACAAAACTATAATATTGTTTGCTTTATAAATGATTCATACGTTTGTGA